GGGACCTGCTCCACTTCATCCCCGGAATCCACGCCCTGAGGGAGCGGCGGGAAATCCTCCTCCCGGAATAAGTTAACGGGTGCAGCAGGGGTCTCAGAGCACCCGGCAGCCTGATGCCCCAACTGGCCACACCGGAAACAAGTACGGGGCTGCCGGGCATAATACACCCGAACGTAGTAGCCCAGCAGCCGGACAGAAGATGGGATATCCGACCGCAGGCGCATACCTAATGTACGGACGTTCGTCTACTTCCCAGCATACTTCCCCGAGGACAGCTTGTTCACCCGCACACTGATGACTACACCATACCTCCCGAAGAAGCGCCGGAGAAGGTCTTCAGGGAACTCCAGGGGCGCACCGTGCACACTGACATATGTCAGGGCACCACTTCGGTCCGAGATCGTAACAGAGCCGGCGCCATCCGGCAACTGCAATGAACGCCCCTCGTTCCGCCGGAGGAAGTCCCGATACTCCTCCTCCCCCACGAACTTGACAATCACCCGGTGGGCTGTAACAAGCTCAACGCCATACACAGCTTCCACCGGGACACGAAGCATGTCACACATAACTAACTCAATGGCCGGATAACCAGCCTTACACGAGAATTCCATGCCCACGGAATTTACCCGCAACACAGGAGGAATGGCCAGGTCCCCCATGTCAAAACTGCCACGTCAGCACGCAGCCAGGCAGGCAACAACACTGGACAGGGAGGGTAAGAGACCCCCACACCCCCTGCCGGCGAAAACTGCAACCTCCCCAAACTGCCGGAGTGTTCAGACGACACGTCTTCACCCTACGGCTGCTCAGGTGGAACTCCATTTAGCGACGAATTTTTTTTTTTTTTTTTTTATTTTTACATGCAAGCATGCGTATAATGTACAATAAAAACAGAACAAATATAACATAGAACAAAAGTACAAAGCACACACATGAACAATGACAAAGGAACAAATCAAGAGAAGACCAGCCAGAAGGGCTGACCACAAAACAAAAATGCATATACAAACATAACACAAATATAAACACAGCGTAATACAAACATAAGGGAAACAGAGAGGCGAGAAACATACAAAACAAGTCTGCTAACACCTCAAACACATAATGCACACATAACAAAGAGCACACCCCAACAGCCTGAAGGGCACACAAGATGACAAACAAGCGCACACGACATCAGACCGCTGCCGAGGAAACGGGTAACGAGGAAGGGGCCACAGAACATCCAGAGCGAGCATCCTTTCTCAACATCACTACCAGGCAACCCCGCTCACCACCAACTACAGCAGGGGGAACCACCGCCCACGAAGAACCGGAGCCATCCGACGCAGGCAACGTACCTGAAGCAGGACCCTCGGACACCGGACCATAAGTTGAGGCCGAAACGCCGGCACCGGCATCATCAGGCAAGTGTACCTCCGCCACCACCGTAGTGTGCACCACATCCGGAGCCACTCCACCGTCAACGGAAGGACGACACTCGTCGAATTCGCCAACATCAGCCCACGCAGAAGAACGCCGGGAACGCTTAGGCTCGGGCCGCACATCATCAGACCCGGAGGCAGACTCAGCGACCCGCGCAGCACCAACCGAGCAAACCGACGCACGCCGCAGCACGGCAGCCTCCTCAACCACACGGGACACCAGGCCAGGCACAGGAGGGAATGCCTGAACCACCTCAGCTCCCAGCACAGCCGGAACAGACGGCGAGGGCGCAGGGACCGGGACAGACACAGCAGAGGAAAAACTGGAAGACGAGGGGTCTGAGCAAACGGCAGGCGGAAGAGGCTCAGGGACACCAGCAGGAGCACTAGGCGAGGACCCAACCTCCGGAGGAGATGCGGCAACAACAGGGGGCGCAACAGGCGGAGCAACAGCTGCTACAGAGGGCACCTCCTCAGCCGAAGAGACGTCCATACCCACCGAATCATCCCCCACAGGAAGGGGCGGAAAATCCTCCTCACTGAAGAGATTCACTGGTGCAACAGCAGGCGCAGAACAGTCAGCAGCCTGATGGCCCAAAAGACCACAACGATAACACGTCCGCGGCTGACGGGCGTAAAACACCCGAACGTTGTACCCCATAAGGCGCACAGAGGACGGAATATCCGCCCGGAGTCTCATGCCCAGGGTGCGAATGTTACACCTCACACCCTTAAGAGGACTAGAAGACACCACGTTCACTCTCACACTAACAACTGCGCCAAACCGGCCAAAATACCGCCGTAGCAGAGCCCTCTGGAAACTCCAAGGGAGCCCCATGCACACTGATGTAAGTAAGTGCACCACTTCTATCCGAGAGGGTGACAGTGCCCGCACCATCCGGCAGGGGCAGAGTCCGCCCCTCGTATCGCCGGAGAAAATCGCGATACGCCACCTCCTCTGCAAACTTCACAATTGCCCTACGGGCCGTTACCAACTCGACCCCATAAATCGCAAACACAGGGACAGAGAGCATTTCACAAGCCAGGGCAATCTCCGGGTAACCAGCCCGCACAGAGAACTCTAGTCCCACAGACTTAGCCCGAACGACAGGGGGTAGAGGGACCCCCATCGTAACGCCACGTCAGCACAGGCGAGCAGAGACACACCCGCCCCCAACCAGCCGAAACGGGCAAACAACACCAACTCTTTAGCGACGAATTGGAAGCCTGTAACTATGCTTATATGCAAGTTTCACTTTGCTAATGATTAACCTTTGTCCCCAGGATGCGAGTCAATTGCTCTACATGATCATGATGATGATCAATTGCGCTACATAGGTGATCATGTAGTTAATTGCGTCTGCGAAATACAATGACAAGAAGGACAGACGACTCTAGGGGGGGGGAGTCATTACTCATATGGAAGAAAGTACTTGCAGCAGTGACGAGCGAGCATTAGTTTGCCTGCCTCCCTTTCCAGCTTCTGGCCAGGTAAAGCAATAAATTTTTAATTCAAAAGGTTTCCTCGTCCTATTTCGTTCAGAAGCTGATTACGAAATTCGCCTCGACAATCTTAATTTGTGTTTTGTTGTCCATTCCACTACATTGCCTTGCCTCTTTGTTCACTATCTTGTTATAAATATCCTGTATTTATAACACGATATGTGTGAAATATCTTGTACTTTGTTATCAGGTGAGAGAGGAGAGGAAAAAAGGCTTACAGGGGGCACAAAAGGACTTATCCGACTTCAACGGGGATTATTACATTAACAATTTCATCTATCCTTCACACCTTATAATTACAGTGTCAGCTAGTTACTGACAGCTACGTCAGCTACGTTTCTGCCCGAAACGCTGCGCGTACTAGTGGCTTTACAAGATTGTAATTACTATAATATGTATCCTCACAATCCCTATGTACCTTCTTGTATATAAGTAAATAAATAAATAAATAAATAAATATTTATTTATTTATTTAAGTTATAGAAAATGTTCTATTTTAAGAGCTATATATTTACAGTAAGTCATTGTACATTAATGTATAATGTCTTATCGCTAATACATAATCTAATACGCTAATACATAATCCGATCCTAGAGGCATTACAATTCCAGGTCACCCCACGACAAAGTTAGAGCAAGTCCTTATAGCACTTGCCCCATGATCAAGAAACCGGTTTAATGTCAAGGACTCTACATAAGGATCGCATCGGAGTGGCTCGTTGGCGGCTGTTGGGTGTAGACGTGTCGTTCGTGGTACTCGCCAATTCTACCCTAGTGGCTGTGTGAGGAGGGTGTCTGTGACGGCTGTAAGGGTGTTGTCCGCTGGGTGGCCGTGGAACGTCTGTTGGGGAGACAATGGAGGCCGGTAAGAACCGGCCTCTATTGCAGAGGACCTCGTCGTCTGGTCTGGCTTTTACGGTGCCAGTGGACCACTTGTTGGTTGGTGTTGCCCTGGTGGATATTCTCCATGTGCAGTTGTCGGAATTGGTGGGCGTCCAGCTGCTGCAGGGGAACCGCGCTGTGGTCAAGTTTCGCCATCAGGCTGCATTTCAAGCGTTTCTGGGGCGGTGTGAGGGGCGTGTTTACCCTCTCCCTGATGCCGCCGGTTCTGTTAAGGTCGTGAACCTCAGCATCGCCTTGACGTATGTGTCGGTGCGTGGTGCCCCCTTCGAGATTAACGACGCTCTCCTAACTGCTGTGTTTGGACGGTTTGGTACTGTGGTAAGCATTCGTTGGGACAACGTACTTGCAGGGCACTGTACTGGGATGCTTGACAGTTCCCGCACCCTGGCCATGTCTCTGAAGAGTAGTGTTCCGTCCTCTGTGTCCGTGTTGGGTTACACGCTCCGTTGCCAGTATCATGGGCAACCGCGCACCTGTTACAGGTGTGTGGTAATGTGGGTCATCTTGCTGCAGCGTGCGACGTGGGAGCAACTGGCAGGGTGCATGTTTTTCGTTTACACGCTCCGTTGCCAGTATCATGGGCAACCGCGCACCAGTTACAGGTGTGGTAATGTGGGTCATCTCGCTGCAGCGTGCGACGTGGGAGCAACTGGCAGGGTGCATGTTTTTCGTTTACACGCTCCGTTGCCAGTATCATGGGCAACCGCGCACCAGTTACAGGTGTGGTAATGTGGGTCATCTCGCTGCAGCGTGCGACGTGGGAGCAACTGGCAGGGTGCATGTTTTTCGTGAGGAGGACTTTCCACCCCTGTTGACTTCGGACGCTTCTGAGGATGGAGTGGTTGCGGTGCTTGAGGCGCCTGATTGCTTGTCTGCTGATTTGCCTGTTGAGGCGGTTACTATGCCTTCTACGTCCAGTCTATTACCTGCTGTGGCCCCGGAGGTGGTTATTGCGCCGGAGTGTAAGACTGTTGGGCCGTCGCCCGCACTGCGTGTGGTGGATGTCCCAGTGGATGTCCATGTCCTGCCCCCGCCTGTGGATGTGATACCGGCTCCAGGGGTCGCGGGTTCTGTTGTTTTGGAGGGGGGGCTTCGGCAGGAGGAGGCGCCTGCCGTGTCTGTGTGTGTTGGCGACTGTAGTTCTGCTCTTTCCATCCCTTTACAGAAGCGTGCGCGTCGGTGTTCTGAGGCTGTTTCCCTGGATGATGCGGGCAGTGTGAGTGATGTGGCCTCTGTGGACTCTTCGGACGGTGCAGGTTTGGCCTGTGTGTATGTGAAGGTGGTGGCTGTGCCTGCGGCGGGGCCTGCTGGGCGTGGTGTGGTGCGGCCTGTCTCGAAGCGTTCGCGGCGGGCTCGGAGTGTCTCCCCTTCGTGGTGTGCCTTGGGAGATGGTTGGAGAGTATGGTGATCTGGCGCCCCCCGCCGAGGATGATGGTGCTGTGCGGGGCTCCGAAGTTGCTACCTGTGCCTCTCCTCCTGCGTCTCCTGCTGTTGGATTTCCACAGTGGTGGGTTGTCCCTGATGATCGGGACCTCGTCGTGATGTTGCGGAAAGATGTGCGCCGGGGGGCCTCGGCTCCTGTGCCCTGTGGTGGGGTCGATGCCGCGCCTGCATCCCCTGCGGTTTCCCCTCCTTCATTGCCCCGGTCTGGGGGAAGCCTAGTCCCAGCTGCTGGGGTTGTGCCCTGTGGGGGTCCGGTGTTGGGCCCTTATCGGGATGCCCGGGTGCTTCCGGTCCCGTGGTTCTCGTCCACTGTCTGGGTGTCGCGGGTGAAGGAGTTTGTGTATAGGGTGCCGGATAAGATGTCTCAGCCGAGGCCACCGCCTGGTGGCCAGGTGCCCGATGACACGTGGGTGATTTGGGAGGCGTACTGCTTGTGCTTTCAGATATACAAGTTCCCGGAGAAGTATTAGTTCACGTCTGATCAGCTGCCGCCGTGACCTCGTCGCCCCGCCCTACGGTGCGGGGAGTCTCCCTCTAACGTCCCCCTCTGTTTTCGTCGCCACTCCTCTCTCTACGACTCGTCACATCTAACACACTTGACTTGATTCTCCTCCTTAACGTCAACGCGTCTCCCTACATTTGTCCTGGTGCAGTCATCGGGAGGGTAAACCCTTCATGCAAACTGCACCTATTCTCAAGAAGAAGAGAAGAAGGATCGTATCAGACACTTGGCCGAGAAGCGATAAGAATCGTCAGCTGCTACTAATGTACGACGGCCAAATGTTGTCCGCATGCTACAAGTGTGTATATTTAAATAGGATTAAGTCACGATTGTGCATAAACGTAAGCCCATTCGGGTCACAGCCGAAAGGTCCCGGGTTCATTTGCCAGGGCAGGACATGAGTGCCTGGGCAACGCTCTTTTTCACCTGATGTCACTGTTCACCTGTCAGCAAATAGCTACAATTGGGAGGTAGGTATCTACTGAAAATATTATGTTAATAACAAGAGAGGATCATACATGAATAGTTAGGATTTATGAATTTATTTTACAAATATAGATATTTAACGGATTATTTATTTTGTTTTTTTTTATTTGCTCTGATTGACCATTCCAACAAGTTTTTATACCACAGGTGGATACTGGACCAGACGTCTGCTGAGTCATGTTAGCAGGCTGAGAGCCCTCGCTTCCCAGAGCTTATGGTAAGCCTTACCCACTATGTGTAGTTTCCTGATAGGGGCCTGACAGCTGAGAGGACAGCGCTTGGGATTCGTAGTCCTAAGGTTCCGGGTTCGAACCCCAGTGTATGCGGAAACCAATGGGCAGAGTTTCTTTCACCCTGAGGCCCTTGTTCACCTGGAAGTTAATAGGTACTTGGGAGTTAGACAGCTGCTACGGGCTGCTTCCTGGGGGATGTACAACAAGAAGTTGGCCTAGTCGAGAACCGGGCCGCGGGGATGCTAAACCCCGAAATCATCTCAAGATATCCTCCCCTGGAATACCATCCGCCAATCGTTTAACAACAGGGTACACAATGATGGAGGAACAGAGGAGTAGTGTTAAGGATTGGCGCCTAGTCAATCCTCCCCGGCCACGACGCGAAACTTTGTTCTATTGGTGAATAATACCTTGCGAGAATTACCTGTTTATTTTTCATACATATTTAGAAATACGTGACTCACCAGCCAGCCACAATTGTCTTAGACCAAGAACTGTGCTGTCAACATTACGTACAAGAACTGAGCTGTCAACATCAGGTGCAAGAACTGTCCTGTCAACATTATGTGCAAGACCTGTACATTTTGCTTACTGCTCAATAGCGAGCGGAGGTGCTAGATGGCCTTGTTGTAGTTTGTCAAGAGCGGCAGGTTTGAAGCAGTCATAGACAGTCTTCGGTGGCGAGAAAGTAACTTATGCCTGTATTGGTCTTGATGTTGTTTGTTGGTGCTATGTTAGTGGTTTTGTAGAATGTAGAGACAGTCAAAGGTGACAATCTTTGCCTCACCAGAGTACAGCATCCGCAGACAATGCACCATTCTGGCAGACTGACTGAGCTGCTCTGTGTACTGTACAAGCCAATCACGGCAACATTACAAGTCGGTGCTCCGTGGGTGAATCTGAAAGCCAGGTACAAAACCTGTCTTGGCCTCGTCTACGGAGCAAACACCGTACTGGTCCTCGGGGTTGCAACCCACAACAGTGTGGTTGACTCGCACAGTCACGAGGCTCCCCATGCAGTGGTCGGCGTGTATAAAGAGGAAGAAGGTTTACAAGAGAGAGAGAGAGAGAGAGGGTGCGCCTACAGTCATGGAACATCCACAAAACGTGATCTGTCAGCATCGCACCTCTCTCGAAACAAAGAATTATACACAAAATATTGTGAATATTAGTCCCTCTGAAAAGCTGTATAGAAAACAACGACAAAAGATGACATTGTAAATGGACGAGCTTGTAAATATAATAAATTACTTTTTAATTACAATTAATCTTTAAACTATAGAAAGAATGACAAAAAAATTTAATAATATTTTTAATGGAAACTAAAAATTTTCAATTTTTTTTAAGTTATAAAGGACATTTTCAAAATTTGCATAAAAACTAACTTATTTTAAAAACTAAAACTTATTTTAAAAAACTAGGATGTTTTTCTTTATATAAAAACATTTTGCAAACCATATACTTTAGAGATGTCTCGCAAAAAATTTTGAGTGTAAAACACAAAATTGATCAATCGTATGAATTACTAATTAATCGGCTAGCAGAAAGTGGTGGTCGCTTGCAACTGTTATCTGAAATAATAGTCGTCGGTAAGTAGGGGTCACTTAACTACTATGTACCGTGTTCTAAGCTCCATATGATCTCGGGATCATATGTATGCTCGTAGCTCCGGTGACCTCTGGGGTCACATATATGCTCATAGCTCGGGTGACCTCGGGAATCATACATATGCTCATAGCTCGGGTGACCTCAGGGGTTATATATATGCTCGAGTGACCTCGGGGGTCATATGTTCGTAGCTCGGGTTACCTCGGGGGTCATATATATGCTCGTAGCTCGGGAGACCTCGGGGGTCATATGTGTGCTCGTACCTCGGGTGACCTCGAGGGTCATATGTATGTTCGTAGCTCGAGTGACCTCAGGGGTCATATATATGTTCGTTGCTCGGGGGTCATATGTATGCTCGGAGGTCGGGTGGGATCTGGGGTCATATGTATGCTCGTAGCTCGGGGGTCATATGTATTGTCGTAGGTCGGGTGACCTCGGGGGTCATATGTATTTTCGTAGCTCGGGTGACCTCGATAATCATATATATGCTCGTAGTTCGGGTGACCTCGGGGGTCAAATATATGCTCATAGCTCGGGTGACCTCGGGAGTCATATATATGCTCATAGCTCGGGTGACCTCTGGGGTCATATGTATGTTCGTTGCTCGGGTGACCTCGGGGTCATATATATGCTCGTAGCTCGGGTGACCTCTGGGGTCATATATATGCTCGTAGCTCGGGTGATTTCGGGGGTCATATGTATGCTCGTAGCTCGGGTGACCTCTGGGGTCATATGTATGTTCGTAGCTCGGGTGACCTCGGGGGTCATATGTATACTCGTAGCTCGGGTGACTTCGGGAGTCATATGTATGCTCATAGCTCGGGTGACCTCGGGGGTCATATATATGGTAGTAGCTCGTGTGACCTCGGGGGTCATATGTATACTCGTAGCTCGGGTGACTTCGGGAGTCATATGTATGCTCGTAGCTCGGGTGTCCTCGGGGGTCATATGTATGCTCGTAGCTCGGGGGTCATATGTATGCTCGTAGCTCGGGTGACCTCGGAGGTCATATGTATGCTCGTAGCTCTGGTGACCTTGGGGGTCATATGTATGCTCGTAGCTCTGGTGACCTTGGGGGTCATACGTACGCTCTTAGCTCTGGTGACCTTGGGGGTCATATGTATGCACGTAGCTCTGGTAACCTTGGAGGTCATATGTATGCTCGTAACTCGGGTGACCTCGGGGGTCACATGTATGCTCATAGCTAGGGTGACCTCAGGTGGTCATACCGTGCTGTCAACATTATTTGCAAGAACTGTGCTGTCAACATTACGTGTAAGAACTGTGCTGTCAACATTACGTGCAAGAACTGTGCTGTCAACATTATGTGCAGGAACTGTGCTGTCAACATCACGTGCAAGAACTGTGTTGTCAACATTATGTGCAAGAACTGTGTTGTAAACATAATGTGCAAGAACTGTGCTGTCTACATTATGTGCAAGAACTGTGCTGTCAACATTATGTGCAAGAACTGTGTTGTCAACATTACGTGCAAGAACTGTGCTGTCAACATTTTGTGCAAGAACTGTGCTGTCAACATTATGTGCTGGAACTGTGCTGTCAACATTACGTTCAAGAACTGTGCTGTCAACATTATGTGCAAGAACTGTGCTGTCAACATTACGTTGAAGAACTAACTGCACTGTCAACAGTAAGTGCAAGAACTGTGCTGTTAACATTATGTGCACACTGTGCTGTCAACTTTACGTTCAAGAACTGCACTGTCAACAGTAAGTGCAAGAACTGTGCTGTTAACATTATGTGCACACTGTGCTGTCAACTTTACGTGCAAAAACTGTGCTGTCAACTTTACGTGCAGGAACTGTACTGTCAACATTACGTGCAAGAACTGTGCCGTCAACATTATGTACAGGGCCTGTGCTGTCAAAATTACGGGCAAGAACTGTGCTTTCAACATTATGTACAAGAACTGTGCTGTCAACTTTACGTGCTAGAAGTGTACTGTCAACATTACGTGCAAGAACTGTGCTGTCAACATTATGTGCAAAAACTGTGCTGTCAACATTTCGTGCAAGAACTGTGCTGTCAACTTTACGTGCAAGAACTGTGTTGTCAACATTATGTGCAAGAACTGTGCATTTTGTTTACTGCTCAATAGTGAGCGGAGGTGCTAGATGGCCATGTTGTAGTTTGTCAAGAGCGGCAGGTTTGAAGCAGTCATAGACAGTCTTCGGTGGCGAGAAAGTAGTTTATGCCTGTATTGGTCTTGATGGTTTTGATGTTTTTGTAGAATGTGAGACAGTCAAAGGTGACAATCTGTGCCTCACCAGAGTACAGCATCTGCAGACAGTGGACCATTCTGGCAGACTGACTGAGTTGCTCTGTTTACTGTACTAACAATCACGGCAACATTGCAAGTTGGTGCTCGGTGGGTGAATCTGAAGGTCAGGTACAAAACCTGTCCTGGCCTCGTCTACGAAGCAAACACTGTACTGATTTTCGATTTTGTAACCCACAACAGTGTGGTTGACTCGCACAATCACGAGGCTTCCCAGTGGTCGGTGTGTATAATGAAGAAGAAGGTTTAGAAGAGGAGAGAGAGGGTGCGCCTACAGTCATGAAACATCCACAAAAGGTGATCTGCCAGCATCACACCTCTCACGAAACATAGAATGAACACTCTAAATATTGTGAATATTAGTCCCCCCTGAAACGCTGTACAGAAAACAACGACCACAGATGACCTCAGGAGTGTGAAAGGACGAGCTTGTAAATATAAACACTTGGTTTTTAATTGCAATTAATCATAATGTATTGCTGGAATGATAAAAAATGTGTTATTATTTTTATAGAAAAGGAAATATTTTCAAAAAGATTTTAAAACATAAAGAAAATTTTCAAAATTTGTATAAAAACATTTCTTTGTAAAAAGTAGGATATTTTTTATTTATGTATAAACTTTTATATATAACATTTTGTCGTGAAAATTTTAAAACTAAAATTTTAAGTGTAATAATATAGAAATGATTAAGTTACATTAATTACTATCCGATCACCCATCAGGAAGTGGTGGTCGCTTGCAACTATTATCTGAAGCAATGTATAATAAATAATAGTCGTCGGTACGTAGGGGTCACTTAACTATTGTGTACCGTGTTCTGGGGTCCATATGATCTCGGGGGTCATATGTATGCTCGTTGCCCGGGTGACCTCGAGGGTCATATATATGCTCGTAGCTCGGGTGACCTCGAGGGTCATATATATGCTCGTAGCTCGGGTGATCTCGAGGGTCATATGTATGCTCGTAGCTCGGGTGACCTCGGACGTCATATGTATTTTCGTAGTTCGGGTGACCTCTAGGGTCATATGTATGTTCGTAGCACGGGTGACCTCTGGGGTCATATGTATGCTCGTA